ATCACCGATGACACATTGTCTGTAGCTACAGGCGTAGATATTTCATTCATAATATTGCCACATTCAGGTTGTGTTGAAATACTGGATGAAACTGACTCGGTTATGTTGTCGCAGGATTCTTCAGACTGTGTCTGAACACAACCTTTGTGTGGTGCATACGCCTCATCAGGTATGGCGTCAGGGTTGAATGGATAGATCCCCGTAGCTACAAACCCGTTCCATATAGTTTTCGGTGTCATTGCAGCTTGCCATGCTATATCGAATAGCCTAAGGAACTGTTTGTGGCCAACTGCAACCCCTGTGCTTTTAACAAAGTCATCGAGCGCAGTGTTCCAGTGACTCTTCATCAACTTAAACACAGTTCTGTCCAGTGGCTGCGTCCAGTTACTTGTGTGACTAGGTAACTCCACAAGTATGATGTCATTCTGCTTTGAAAGTTCAACAAATTCAACATTGTTGTGTGACCCGTGTCCGTCGCATATAAGTAGCTGAGGTCTGGCCGGACCGATATTCTTCAAAAACGTTTCTGTGAACCAAAGTTTGGCAATTCCATCTTTGGTTCCTCCTGAATCAGACACAGAAAAGTTTGCCCCTTTTAATGACGACTCTTTTTCTCTAATGGATTGTATGTTGTATCCCTCCAGTTTCCTTACAGTTTTCCCCGGAATAACAAAATGTGGAGGAATGTATCCACCATCGGCATTGCTGCATGCAATTACCGTTACCAGTTCACGAGAAGTAGATGCTTTGCCGTGTATGGCCTTTGCACCCTTCTTTGCAAGCACTTTACTTGGTTTATGAGACAAACTTACCCCCGTTTCATCCATGTTCCAGATTCTACCTGGATTGTTTTTGAAATTTGACGTCTGCACAACTTTCCCTAATTCGGAAAAAAATAAACGCATGCGGTCGCGTGACATCGCGTCGTGACGAACAGTTGCGGTTGCCTCAGGAGTTCTGAGCGAAAATCCTTCGTGCCTCCGTTTAAGCCATCTCCACCACATGTCGGATGGTTTTGCCCATCTAAGTGAAATATTCCGGGTGTTTGCCATAGAACCTGCAAACCTTAAGAAGTTCGATTTGCTAAAGCCTATCCCCATATCTGCCCTTTGTACTGCACACTTTATCATTTCCTTCTCGTCCTCAATACTAAACAAGGCCTTTTTCCCCCAATGGGCTCCCTCCTGGATCCTACCAGATATGCGATCCGATAATGTTGATCTAGGTACAGAATATTTCTTTGCAGCCTTTCTTACTCCCATTCCGTTTTTTACGTCGGCTATAGCTGTCGACATAGCGTCGTCAGTATACGTTTTCATGATATATCTGTAAAAAGAAAATAAAAAAAGAAAATAACGCAATCTGAATCCGTGGTCGGTCTGTCCGTCATTCCATCTGTCCTTCCGTTCTTAAACAATTCTTGTTAACGCTGTTACTCTGAAAGAACTGGAGGGATCTTTTTCAAATTTCAAAAGAAGGTTACCCATGATCCCTAGTTATGCATATATAGTTTATTGGGACTGACCACAAAACCAAAATGGCCGACAGGCAGCCATCTTTACTTTGAAAGTTAAAGTCACATAAGAGTATCTCTTGTTCTTAGTTATGGATATCAAATCATATTGGTTGGTCATCTTGTTACAGTTTAAGATTGTTATTGCTATTTCTCAGAACTTACTAGAGAAATTTTTCACAAATTGGATATGTAGGTTTACCTTGGTCCTAAGTATATTAAGATGGCAAACAGGCAAACTGATAAAACAGATAAGACTTAGAGTAAAGAAGAGAAAAGATCGAAAGGACACAGAACTAAAGAAGAT